ACATCTAGTTATGTCGAAATGTGACTGATCACCTAGGGGTCCAGGCTCCTGTGAGGGAAAAGTTCACTGACAGACAGCGAACGAAGCTGATCTTAAATGAGAATCAAGAGAAAGCAGCATTCCAGTGTCTGACAGTCTGCAGCTGCTACCTGGGTCTGCCTAACGAAGACGAGCCTGCTCTGCTGAACAGTTATATTAGCATCTGTATGCTTCTGTCTCATTATCACACATCTGCCCACCTTTATTCGAATGAAGCTTCTTCTGATCTGACAGCTCAGGCATTGTCAGTGAATAGATATTATGGGATCCGGGTACAGCAGCTTAGGGTGTTAGCTTTTATTTTCTAAAGACTGTTGTACGGTTTGACAGTATAATGCCACTGAGGTAAAGAAGATAATTAACATATTGGGCAGGCTCTAAACAAAGCTGAGACAGTTACACTGGCAAAAGTGCCGCTGCTGGAGTGGTATTGTTTGCACTGGAGGAACATCAAAGGTTGCAAGATCTGCCTTGGGAAAGAGCAGGGGCACAGGTACGCCATGTCCCCCTCTGACGGATGTTTGGGTCTTCGGTTGATGCCCAGTAACTGCATGTCCTCCCATTGCCTCTGCTCAAACTCTCCTGTCGTTCTGGGTCAGCTGTTCCCAGCATCTGAGAGGATGTGAAAATGGAGGTAGAGAGAAGGAGGATGAAGGTTCTCTCTCCTGAATTTATTTTTACCCTACAGCATAAAGCTAAGCGCTTGTGTGAGCTGCACACAGCGCCTGTTTGGATGGAGATTTAAGCCTCCTAAGTTGGAAATCACATGTGGGATTTTCTGGAAATGCCAAAAACGTATGACTGAGGTTTCATCATTTGGCTGCTCAGTAAAGGAGTAGAAAGACTTTCTTAGAAACAAACAAACAGGGAAGTAGCATTCCGAGCTCCTGATGTAGATGAGCTTTGATGGTTAAAGAAAGGATGCTCATACTCTCTGCAGCTCTGAGAAATGAAATGGTCCTCAGTGTATTGCTTCACAGTTTGCTTTCTATCTGAATACTGGGCATGGTGGGTGGGAATGGCAGCTTGGTCCTGTGCTTCAGAGATGAAGCACTGTAGAAAATACACCTTTGTAAGCTGCCTTGCTGCTTGTTGTCATTTGGGAAAACTAGTGAGTGGGATGCATTGCTGCAAGAGCATCCCTGAACATCTCTGCTGGAGAACCACTGATGTTGTGAAGGGCCTCGGTGGTACCCCTAGGTGCCCCCAGTCACAAGCAGTGTGGTGGCCAGAGCCCAGACACTCATCTGACTCAAGTGAGTCCCTTGGTTAAAGCCAACAGTCTCTGCTGTTCCTGTGGCAGTGCGCTGAGAATTTAGCCCTAAATGTCTGTGTTAAGGACGTTCTTCATTTCATTCACGGCTTTTGTTTCAACGCTTTTCTCCTTTGTTCTTGAGAGCACGCAGGGTTTCCATGAGTTAATGTTGGAATTACTGCTTCTTTGCAACAGTGCAGTCAAAGTCATTTCAGCATCCGCGCCGATAACGTGAGCATGGCTCGTTCAGGTTGGCCCAGCTGCCCCACGCTCACAATTGCAACGTTTGAATACCAAATAAGAGATTCGTTTTTTTAAGAGGGAAAAAAAAAGATTGTCATTCGCTCTAAAAAGGCATCACAGACTGCCGACACTGTACAGAAAAGTAGGAGATGTTGACCTTTTTATTGTAAACTTTCTGTAGCGTTGCCCTCTCGGCGGCGCGCTCCCCCTCGCACACATGGGCGCGCACACGCACTCTTCAGCTCTATGTTATCTCAAATAATTACCCTGCGCTTCTGGCTGTCCCCAGTGACTGCTGCTGCTAAAAAAGCTACTCATTGTCGGTGAGTGAAGAGGGATTTCAAACCTGCTTCTTGTGGCCCAGCAACAGCTCTTAATTAACCACTCAGGTATTGAGCCGCCTCCTCGCCCGGCTCCATCCATATGGCAGAACATGTCCGCGGCGATAATCACTGAAGGAAATATTGTATCAAAAAAAAAGGGCTCACTGAACAGAAAGCTCCTGCAAATTATTTTTAATGATTCTCCTCTCTGAGCCGGGCTGTTTGCTGCGCTGGGTAAGGGCTGGGGACGGGCTGTCCTTGCTGTCCTTGCTGTCCTTGCTGTCCTTGCAGCTCCGCCGGCCGGCTCCTGGCGGTGGCACGAGGTGGGTGCGCGGTGCCCAGCCTTTGTTCCTGCAGCACAGCTGGGTGCGTGCCCGCTTCCAACAGCGCCGTACCTTAAGGAAAAACTTGCAGGCTTTGCGCAGCCCCACGTTTTTTCTTTCTCCCTTTGGTTTACAAAAAAGAAAATAGCGATTAGAGTTTATAAATCTAATTAAAAATGAAGTTGCATTTACATTTTAAAACCTCGCGTACGCCAGCATACTGTGTCAAAAGATATTATGTATGATTTTACTTTGTGACAGAAACCATTACATTTAAAAATTCATTACAGCAAGGTTAGTTAGACACATGATGGATGCAGCTTTAATCCTGCCATATATTATTACAGTTAAAATGTAAATGATGAAAAATATTTTGTGCTTATCAGCGTTTATGTGGAAATGTGTTTTACAGTGATATATGGTGTTATATTTCTATTATTATGATGAGAAAGAATGAAATACCAAAAGACGAAGTGTTTATTAAAACATGGCTACTTGTGATAAAATATTCTTGTTGTACATGACTTTAAACATATTTACCGAGGGCATTTGTCCAAAACAACTGTGAAATGCGTTTGCTATGCAAATCATTCTTTGTAAATTTTTCTCCTCTCTGTTGTACTGACTGCAGCTTTCTAATAGCCTAATGTTAAAGTCATGTAAATATATTTTTATTATTTTTCATTTCAGTCACGGGGGACTGGCGCTGTTTACACACATGCCTGCGTTCGGGTAGAGAGCGGTTACACAGAAAGACATCAAACAGGAAACTGATCCTAGCACAGCCCCGTGTTCCTTTGTACCTCCTCTTGTTTCAGCTCCTCAAGGCCCAGCCTGCAGCAGAGGAGCCAGCCCTTGGCCTTCCAGCACGTGTGGCCCCTGCAGCCTGTGTCCTGTTGACACCCCAGCAACCCAACAGCCCACAGCAATCCAACAGCCTGCGCTTCCAAGCCCTTCCGTTCCACTGCGCAGCCGTAAGCGAGGCACTGCTGGGCACCTTCACGGCCAGATGGTGTGGCCGCATGCCGGCACTGCCTCCATCATTTCCTATGGAAGGTGAGTTTCTAACTGTGCTTGTGCTTTAGGCAAGCCTTGTAAAGAAACATACGTGGCCTTCCCCCAACCTGAGGGCTAACAAGTTTGGAGGCCAGGCCTACATGCTGCATGTCCCCAGGCCAGGTGGGCTATATAAGGGTTTGTTCTCAGCAGTGACCCCTCAGGAAGGGCTGCTGGGGCTGCTCCCCGAGGCACAACCCAGCACGGCTCTGCCCAGAACAATGCAAAGGCCACAGGCGTCCCGCAGGAAGGCTGTGGCAGAAAAGAAAATACAGCACCAAGGCCCTGAAGCTCCGGAATGTGGCCGCCGTGCACGTGTTCCCACGTGTGCTCCGGCTGCTGGGCTGCCTGCGTGCTTCAGGTGCAGCCCTGGCTGCCTCTTGATGTATGCAGTGCTCAGTTGGAAGGTTCTCCCCAACAGCCCGGTGTCACGGCTGTGCCCACAGCAATCCTGCTGCGTGGTTCCTGGAGGCACCCACTCCAGGTTGGTCCTGTTTGTTTTGTTGCTTTTTATGCAGCTTACGTTTAAGAAAATAATAGTTTCAGTAAATTAATTAAGTGGTAATTAAGGCATATTATTGCTGTTAATTCCTCCAGTTTGCTCTGCTGTATCTTCAAGAGAAACTGATTTAAATTTGACGTGATGCAGTAATTGGGCTGAGATTGCTTGTAGTTACGTGAAGCTGAGCCCATCTTCATCAGCTCAGTTTCTGAAAAAAAAAATCCCCTAAGCAGCTCAGGGTATTTGTTTGTGATCAGGAGCTTTATGCCCTTCAGCCTGCAGTGCCTTTCGTTTGACACAAACAGAAGCGGAGACCTGGTGCTTGTAGTTCACCAAAGTGGCTATTTCCTTCTAACCTTCCTCTTGTAACAATGTTTATTCAGTTATCAGGGAAGAAATATCATTTGTCCGTGCAGCTACAATTACCCAATTTGTTGTATAAATTATTACTTTTTTTCTCATCTCATGTTGATGACAGAATCATTTAATAGACTTTCAGTTGCTCAAGCTTGAAAATTGGTTCCACATTCCCCCTTTTTAGTTTTCCTCCCTAGGGTGAGTGCAACGTGGCCTAAACGCCATTCCCAGCTCCCCTTCCCCCTTCTTTTCTTTAAACATCTGCTTGTATGAGGATGTTGTTGTGTACATTAGCGCTGTGCAGTTTAGCACCTTTAGGACTACCTTTGGCTCTCAGCTTCCTTGTTTCCTGGGCCAACCATAATATATCAGGAACCGTGGATATTTCCTATCTCAGCACTCTCCATAACTCTTTTGCTCAGCTGTCTGAAGCTGTTTTCTTTAGGAAGTCCAAAGTGAGGGGGCCTGCTTGACCTGGCATCGGTCCTATTTATAAGAATAAACCTTCTTCCCCGTACACCTTTGGAGCTTTGTCGTGTAGGGGTCACATCCGTTTAAATTAACAGCGATAGCGCCTGTGACGGAACACGGCCACGTAACCTTTATTGTCCCGTCCTACCCTTTTGTTTGAAGTTATAAAACCTACTCAGCTGATTTTCTTCAAAGCTAAGGCTACAGGATCTGCAGCCGTGTCTCTGCCACATAATTAATTAGGAAGGAAAAAAACAGCTACTGTGCGCGCTGTATTTATGCAAGGTGTTTATCTGTTTATTTAAAGCCAGCATTCGCTTTTTTGCTCTCGAATTTTTGCTCTCCTGCTCTCACCACTGAAATAAATGCCAGTCAGGCTCATTTGCTTAGGACAGGAGTTCCCATGCGGCGGTGAGAAGGGGCAATGCACGGAGCAATCATCTCATTTCCAGCCCACGGTCTGAGGCTTTGGCTCAGAAGCAGTGCCACCTCCACCTCCGTGGCACTGAGATGTCACTCTTACAGTCTGCCCACTCACAAGTCAGCCTGGGTGCCTGTGCCGTGTATTTATTTTTTCCTTATTTATTTTTAAGTCTAAGAATATTCGCTGAAAGCAGGATTATCGCTTTGTAGACCACCAGCAGCTGTTGAAAAGCAGGGCATAAAAGTTTGTTTATGCCTTTAATAACCCTCTTAATGATGGAGCAAGCACATTATTCATAATAAAATAGCCTGGCATAATCTTGCTTCAGTGTGCGGTGGGAGGGAATTAAGAAACATCTGCTGTGCCATAAAATAACATTATATATACCATTTACATTAAAAACATGTGTCTACACATATGTATATTATATACATATATTTAGAATGTCTCAGTGGAACTCGTCTTTTTAATTACATTTAGAAAACAATGAAATGGTTAAATGATGGTGTTTTTACTTCTGAATCTCAGCTTTATGCAGTGTTTGTGGGTACGGCTGGTTATAATGACAAGGGACAGAGCGTCAGAGTGCACCTGAAGACACACGAGGGCAGATGTTCCAGCACTGAAATCGGGGTTCAGTTTCTGTTTCTAGCCTCCAAATAACTGACCTGATTTTCTGAAGTACAAAGCGTTCGTGGGCTCTTGATTTTATGAGCGTTGGTTGCTCAGCAACTCTACAAATCAGGCCACTATTTCAGCGCCTAAATGCAGATTTTATTTACAACAACAGCATCCGAATCCACAGCTTTCCTCGATGTGAATTATTTGCATTACTCCCGTGCTGAGCACGAGAGCTTACCATGCTGGTGCTGCACTCAGCAGGAGGGTGGCTGCCTCTGCTCTGACAAACCTGGGGCAAAAATGGGGATCCTGAAGCCGCCAGCGGGGCAGCGCTCCGCCCTGGCAGTGGCCATGCCTTGTGGCTCCCAACCAGCACGGCATGTAAACGTGTCTTTAAATTGAGGCGTGTGAGACGTAAGTGGAACTACTTGCATCTTAAAATTAAATACATGTTTCACTAGATCAGGCCAGATGGTTTTACATGCTCAAAAGTGACATTTACAAGGTCACATAGGAAGTGTTTGACAGAGCCAGGAACTGAAACCAGATTTCCCAAGTGCCAACCCAGTGCCTTAATTTTGCTCGCATCCATTTTTTCTTCCCGCTGGCATGTTTCTCCTCAGCCAAACAAGGAAAAAATGAATCCAGTAAGTAGACAATTAAGTTGTTGTTTTTATTTGGAGGCGCTGGGAACGCAAATGCCACTGTTTGAAAGATTAGTGCTTTCATTTTTTCAGCAAGGCATATGTTTTCATAGACTTTTTCTTTTTTTAATTTTGTCTCTTCTATCTTACAAGAATGTAAGAAATCTGTTTTCATTTTGTAGGTGGCCCACCAAATAGAAGTTATAAGTTAATAAAATTTCTATGCAGATTTATGTGAACTGGATGAACTCTCCCAGTATCTGAATGTTAATCTGTTGGAAAATAGCTGCTGTGGTACTGGAACAGCTCAACATCATACAGCAGGGCACACTCACAGCAGCACTCCGATGACATTTTCCCTACAAATGCCAAAGTAAACATGAGAGACTACTGTGGGGGAAAATCAGTGAACTACTGGAAAGGCAACTGTGGTGAATTTAAGGCAGTTGCCTTAGTTTCACCTAAATCTCTGCTTCTATTAATGTATGTATTTTCCTTGGTAGACGTATCTGTGCAGATTTTCTTCAATGCATTTGATTTAGCCTGTCTCACTTTGCCTCTGTTCTTGGGATGGACGTAGCTCTTTGCAGGCTCCCATTCTGCCTCAGTTTTTAATGAGTCCTCAACCTCCCTGTCCTGTTCCAGCTGAAATGCAGACCATGAGAGAGTACTCCAGGGGAAGTGCTGGATACCCCAAGCATGAAAAGGAGGGGAGCAACAGCCTCGCATTCTCACAGGACCCTCCTACTGCACCAGCAAACTGTATAAAGGTAAAAGGAGCAGGGGTGAGGGTAGGTTTTTCATCTTGACTGGCCAGCCTCTATTTCACCAGGTGTAGGGTATAAAGGACTTGCGAGGATGGAGTTTGTGCATCTGTGACCAGTTTAGAAAAACCCTCAGAAATTGCTGTAATTTAAGACACATTTAAATTGCACTCTGGATGGCAAGGATGGGACTTGGGGAGTGAGAGCAGTAATCTCTGACAGTGGGCCAGTAATGTATACTGAGATGCCTTGGGCTCCCTCAGCCACCTGATTCCTGGGCTGGGGTCAGCCCATACCACCTGTGATTGCTTTGGGATGGAGAGTTGTTAGCTGAAGCAGTGCCCAGACTTAGGCACGCCTCTCGCTGTGAGTGGCACAGGTAGGCCTTGGCCTGGGTCCTCCTGAAGGTGCTCAGTGCAGCTGAACCCATTGCACAGGGCTTCTCAACCCCAGAGAAAATCCTATTTTCCTCGGAAGTATTTTCTCTATCTGATTAATAACTTTAAAACATTTAATAGACATTTGACTTGCTTGACTCAGAGCTATCAAACAAATGGAAACTTTGCATTTTCCCACAGAAAATGCCCTCTGGTTTGTTTGGCTGCTTCCCACTGCTGTGCCAATCCACTGGCATGAACTTTAAGGATCCCTGCAAAAAGCTCTTATGCTAAACAGCGTAACACAGCTGACTTTCAACGAGCACTTAACATCAGCTTATCGCTCAGGACCATACCAGTACCTACACAGTCTTGTGTCAGAAAGGCAGGCATCTATTCATAAGGTATGTATCACTGCTTGTACTTTTTTAATTGCTGCCTTATTTTAGATTGGCTGTATAAGGATCAGACCAAGCGTCTTGTTTAGGAAGGACATTTTTCCTTCTCCATCAGCATGCACTTAGGATAGAGACCACAAAAGAAAATCTCCATACCACTGCCCCCATATCTCAGGTTCCTGGCTTTGACTTCAGCAGCTCATTAACTGAGTCAGCCGGTATCTTGCTTTGGCTTGATGGATAAAAATCCTTGATGGATTTTTATTTCATCCATTACTTTTTGTTATCCCTTTTTAAGGCCATAGACATTTTTTATATCCACAGCATCCTGGGGTACTGAGTTCCACAGTTCAACTATGTGTCGTGTGGATGCCTACTAGAGTTCTTAAATCCTTGTTCCTAATAGTTTTTTCCATCATCTTACCAACTTCTGTTGCATCCACTTATCACACTCTGCACTTTCCTCAGGAAATAAAATCATCCTGTATTTAGGTGCTTCTCAGAAACAGTCATTTCTTTAAAGCATACCAAATCTTGATTGAGAAACTGATGAAAAATTATATTTTGGGCTTAATTGCTTACCTTTGTTGCTGCCTTTGATGATGCGCAGAAATAGCTTCAGAAGTACCATTAAAAACAGAAATCCAAAGAACAGAATCAGCTCCAATTTCCTCCATAAAGTAACGGATTGGGACAAAGACAAAGGCATCAGCATCTGCCCAGGTTCCCCACGTGGCTGTGGGGCTTTGGGGAACCCATCCTTTCCCTTCTCTTGCAGGGAATCTGCTCTTCCCATCTGGTAGACCGAATTGAAGATGCTAAGTATTGGTTGGAGGAATTCTTAGGTATAAAATCAGTGTCTAAATGTGTCTAACAAGCGTTTGAATTGCAAACATTAACAATATTAATGCACTTAATTTTATCTAGTCCTAGCCAGCTCATTTTCTGGGAGGTTTCTTGGTTTGTGTGTACTGGCACTGGAGAACTGGAAAGCAAAGACCCATGTAGCACCCATCGCAGCTTATTACAGAGGGTAAACAGCCAGTGTTATTAGTAGATGAGGAAAGGTAGATCAATATAAAGAAATACTGCTCTCATTCACTATTCCCTTTGTCACTGCCAGGCCTCAGAATTTTTCAGTTCATTGATGTCAGTAAGGATTTACGTGCCTGCCCAAGAAGCTGGTGCCAGATTATTCCCAGGCTGCAGCAGATCCTGATCAGCATGTAAGCTGGCTTGGGCAGCTGCATAAGGAAACAAAATTTAAGATCACAGCAACTTAAAATACTGCTCGACTTTATAACATCAACATTGGTATCAGGGAACGTGGCAACAAAAGTGACCAAAAAGCATCTCCTTTTGCTGTAATGCTTAGTGAATATATCAGGCTGGTTAGACAGAGGGCATGTAATGTTTTTCATTAGCTGAATGAGCACCTAGCTCAAGCCAAGTCTGAAGGCTTTTGGAAACACTTTATTCACAGGGGGCAGCTTGGGGGTTAAACAATGTTTAGCATATTCCCTTCCCTACATTATTTCACGTGCAGAGCTGTTTCCTCTTTGACAGCATCAGGAGACTATCCTTACATACCCTAATGGTCTCATGCCTTCAGCACACTGTGGCTTACACCCGCATACCTCCTTGTTGCTGTTATCACCAATGGTTTCCTCAATGGAAATAATCATGCACATTACAACTGTTGCCAAAACCCTCTGGCACCAGAATCACTCTCGGAAGGAAAGCCTGAAGGCATGCGAGGGCCTGAGCAGCTGTAGCTGCAGTGAGGTAGGTCAGCAGTACTACATGGGAAACCATGCAAGAGGAAAGCTACATGCTGCCTTAGTGTTTAACAGCAGCCAGAGTTAGGGGTCTGATTCTGCTGGGGTTTCAGAATGAAACCTGAATGCTGGCCTGTGCAAATTCCTCTGTTCACGGTTTCATGTCCGTACGCACACACCGACAATCCATCATGAGGTCCCATCGCTGCATCTGTGTGCCTTCGTGGAGACTGCAAAGGTTTTGCATGAGTTCAAATATGAAAAAAAAGTCATTTTTCACACATTCTAATTTCAGATATGACTGTAAATGTTCTAAGCCTCTTCGTATATTTAAACATTTTTAGTGAGTTAGAAAACAAACAAACTATATCTGTTACATTTCTGCAGTTAGATCATGTAACTTGACTGCCTGACAAAGCATCAGC